AAAAAAAAAAAAGCATAAATATTATTTTCTTCCTTATTTATTCTTCATATAATGCAGTTACTTTAAAATTAGCATGTGGTAATTATCTTACTATAAAATGATATCTAATCAATTCTTACTCTAAAATATATTCAATTAATCTATATATATATAATAAGAATTAGCATTTACCAAAAATAGTAGCAAAAAAATAGATCATAATTTAATGCAGCTTATAAATAGTAAGTTTTATTATTTTTCTTTTAAAATTCATACAACATTAAATGCTACCTTAAATTTCAGGTTTTAGTTCATTTTATTATTTAAAAAATCCGACTAAGATTTATTAAGTGTGTATGTTTTTATTTTTATTTTTTTCTTAGAAACAACGAACAACATTAAAATCTCGGTTTTTATATTTATAAAATCAATTCAAAATATAACACTAGTTTTAGAATCTCGGTCTTTATATTAGTGCCTTTAAAAAAATATATTGAACGCTAAAAATATTCTTTAAATTGCATAATCAATCAATTAATCTTAATTTTTTAAAAATTACTATGTTTATTTTTTATTAATATGCATAAAGTAAATATAATTAATTCATCTTTAGATATAGTATTTATAATCTTAATATATTATCATTTGGTGTAGACATTTATTATATAAATAATAAAATATTTTTATTTCATAAAATTAAATATATTTAAAGAAAATAAGAAAAGATTCTTCGGATCAATCGGGTGATTGAATTAGGGTACTGCCCAGGTTGATTGAATTATTTTTAAGTGATATTTAAAATAATAAAAAAACTTGACAGAACTTGGTTGGTCCCAGGTGACTAAGTTATGTATCAGTTCGACCACACCAAATCGATTATTGAACCTAAGTATAAATTTTATATTAAATATTTTATTACGTGAATGTGATGTAGTCCAAACTTCAAATAATCGTTTTAACAATACTTTTATGACAACATGTTTAATAATTTATGAATATCTACATATCATTTTATTAATATTTATGTGAATTAAACAATATTTTATTATAATATTTATTAATATACAGTAAAAATAAGGTTTTCAGAACTGGACCGTTATCGAAACGATCAAGCCATTTTATTAAATCATTTGTGGTTTGTTCAGATTTTAATTTATAAATATTTTAATATATATAGTACTTTTTGTAATAAATTTAAATAAAATGTGTTACTTAGATACTAAACAATTTATAAATTCAAATGTTTAAACTAATTGATAAATAATTTCTAAATTTTTATTTTAATTAAATATGTATTTTATTTAAAATAATTTTAAATATAATAAAATTTAGTTAGAAAATTGTATCGATCCTACCCGTCCAACTGACTTGTGTTGACGGATTGGAGAGCAAATATTTTATTCAAGCGAATTAGACTGGTTATAAACCGGTTCTCGGTCCATCTGGTCGGACTGTGTCTAACCCGGTTTAATTTAAAAACAATGGATAAATTATGATTAATGTTATTTATATATTTAATTTATAATATAATCGTAATATTGTTTTCACGTGCATCGCACGGGACACGCACTAGTTAATGTCAAAGGATCTATTAAGTTCATTTCTTAAAATGAGCAGCGGAGATTTAATCTTAGTCATTTATTCATGTAGATTAGTGTCTAATATTAATTAATTAAAATATATATTAATTATATAATAAAAATAATAACTATTATATTTAAATTAGTCATAATAAATAAAATCATTGACTGTCGTTGCTCGGCCGTCGCTGACATCCGAGTTTTACACCCCTCTGTCGTTCCCACTATCAATGGTGCTGTATCGGAAACAAGATTCAGTCGCTACTACCGCCGCTAGTAGTCCGCTAGCCAGAGCTCCGAGCATCTCCGTCAGCGGTCCCACTATCAATAACTGCACATTTAGTTCATAGGAATTGCATATTTAGTTAATAAATAATGCATGATTAGTTGATATTTTGCACATTTAGTTCATAAACAGCGGCAGATCCAGAAATTTTTATGAGCTGGGGAAACAATAGTTAAAAAAACTTTCAACAATATTGCATAAAGTACTTATATTAACAATTAAACAAATTAATGAAGCAATCGATCGTCTATTCAAATTACCTTTGACTTGATGCTCAAAATGAAATGAAGAATGCGGTCTGACTATTTGATTTTGCATTTTTATTATTATTAAGAAGTATAGCAAAATATTTTACAATCTATTTTCCATCATTTTTTGTAATAAGTTATAAATGAATCATTTTGAAATATAATTTATTAATTTAAAAAAAATTCTAAATGTCATCATTTTAGTTTATGGTGTTTTATAAAGACGTCCTTATAGATTATCTTCTTACATTCAAATGTAGAGTTTTTTAGCACTTTGTAATTCTATATGTTAATTTATAAGGATTCGAAGTAGTCCGTATAAATATGGACATTTATCCATGTTTATTATAACTTTCAAATTTAAACACTTGGCTAACTTAAATTGTAAATACATTTTATAAGTTAATAGCATTTATATTTGTTATTATTTTTTATATATGATAAATTAAATTAATCATATTTTCACAATCTATAATTTGACATTCATATCGTATATATTAATTAAAATAATTAAATTTAAATATTTATCAATTATAATTAAAAAATGATAAATTTAACTACCAAGATTATCATACGGTATAAGTAGCAAAATTATTGTAGTATAATACCATCGAATCTGACAGGTGAGGTGTATCATTTTAAATAAAATATAATTTACTTTGTAAGAATTTATAATTTTAAAATAAGAACTTGTATTTTATATTTTTAAAATTATTAAATATATATTAACACATGTTAATCCTATGAATTATGTAGTTAGTTAAAAAAGTTCAGTCTAGGCAATTGCCTAGGCTGGACTATATATGAATCCACCTTTGTTCATAAAAATACATATTCAATTCATATCAAATACATATTTAATTCATATCAACTGCATATTACGTGTAAAAATTTACTTCATACACAATGCATATATGGTTCATAAAAAAATGCATATTTAACATACATATTTAGTTCACATCGACTGCATATTTAGCATACATATTTAATTTAAATAGGTCGATATATTTTCATATGATATAATTAATCTGATATAATATTTTTTTTATTATATAATTACTGTAATACGTAATACATATTTAGTTAATTCATTATGTATATTTAGGTAGTAAAAATGCATATTTAGTTCATCATAGTGTATATTAGTTCATGTGAGGTCCAATCATAGCCATTTATTTTTGCAAATCAATTACTCATATTAATCAACTAGTACGTACCCCGTGCGATGCATGAGATAAAGATATTAAATGTATTATTTTCACAGGCTTTGTCCGTTTAAGTCTAAAAAGTAATAGGATTATTCTCTATTTTCACCTCTTTTAATCAGCGTTAAGTCCAGAAAACAATAGGGTTATAATTTGTTTTTCAGCTTTTTTAATCAGCGTTGTTTTTTTAGTCAAAACATTAAATATGAGCATGTTAGACCTGTAAAAGAATTAATATATTATCTCACTAACACATTTATACTAATACAGATTTGGTTTTAGTATATATATTTATTTCTTGATATAAGAGAAAATAACCATTTTACTTATTCTTGTTGACCATATGATGCTTGATTATTGTTTTATTATAAACTATGTTGTCATATAATGTCAATATTATTTATAAGAGTTATAGAAGTTGTGCGTATTTTTTATTTTTGTTTTATGTAATGAAAATTATTTAATGTAAATTAGTATTATTTATTTACGTAATCAATTTAAAATATATAAATAAATTTAAAATTAAATAGTGTATAAAGATTTTACAAAATATACACACATGTGTTTTTAGAATTTAATTTTGTATACTAATAAACAACTTTGATTTAGCAAATGTCAAAAAAACTCAATCCCTTCTATAATCAAGATTTTTCTAATTTGCATTATAAGGATTCATAGTTTATTTGACATACTCTACAATGAAAATATGCTTTACAAGAATTTCATTATAGAAACAAATCCAAAATAAAAAAATAATCATGGTTGTAGATAATATACAAATAAATTAGAAGGAAAAATTATTGAAAATAAATGTAATCAGTCACTATCTTATTTAAGTAACTTTATAACCAATGAATATTAGTCACTGATTAAATAAAAAATAATGAACGTTCATATACAATATTTGCTAATAGATAATGGTCAATTATATGCTAAATATAAATGAAAATATTTTTCCGCCCAAAACTATGTCAGTTATAGGAATAAAGATTAGTCCCTTATATAAATAAAAATGTTTTTTTTTCTTTTTCTTGTTAGTTTATTAAAGTGGCTACGATATATTTTTCTTGGTAAATGTCATTTTCTTTGATGAGTGTGGCAATTTGTCGGTTTTGAAGTTTAAGCGACTTTTGTTGGGGTGGTGATTAGAAACGTGATCGGCAGAATTTTGATCAAGTTAGTCAAGGGCGCGTGACACTTTTCGCAATTGTCATCAACTGAGCCTACTGAGGACTAGTTTTAGGTCATAATTTGACCTATTGAGCAAAATTCATCCTATGACTAACTTTTTCATTCTTAATCAAAGGTGTGGCACATTTCTTGTACTACACGCGTGCAGGAAAAAATAATTTAACAAAAAGAAAGTAAAAGAGTTTAGTATAGTAACTCTCTACTATAGTAACTCTCTATTATCTCTCTTATCTATATATGAAGGAGTTACACTCTTTGTGGTCTTGACAAGTGTCCAATTTAGGCACTCTTAATGGCGGACAAGTGTCCCATTAGCAAATTGGCAATTTATTTTTCCAAAGCCAGCAATCGAAACGACATCGTTTCATGGTATATTGTGTTTCCTGTATTATTTTATTGTCCTTCCATAACCTTTTCTTCTTTCCCAGAAATCACTCAGAGCAGGAGCAGGAGCAGGAGCAGTTGAGATTTTGTTTACCAAATTGCGATTTTCTGTAAACTCTGCCTCTCTCCACTTCTTCTGTGACGTGATTTCCGTGAATTGTGTTGGCAGAGTAACTTAATTGTTAAGAATTCCGCTACATCTACTTTTCATCTATATTTCCACTCTCCTCAAACCTGCGTCTCTCTATTTTTTTTTCTCCTTCATCCCGACCACTTCCGCTGTTACTTCATCGCAAACAGATCCTACGCGTCGCTGGCCTGTGTCCGTTGGGGTGAGTCGCCGTGTAGTACTTCGACGGCACAGATAGGTCCGGGACTGAATTTAAACAAATTAGGGAAAATTGAGAGCTTGTTGGTATGCACGTGCATCGGCTCGCCAACTCAGAGCGGTGACCCCGTCCAAAAGAGGTGGCTGCGGACTCGTGAGCGCTTGTCGCCTCCTCTTGCTGATTCCCTACTCCGCCGTCGCCTTCTGAGTATGTTTACTTAATTACCCGGGGAATTTCGATATCTTGTTTTGCTAGAAACAAGACTACAAGAAAAAGAAGTCCCTAAATCGCAAGCTTTTTTCTGAACTTCTCAATTGATTTCAGTGGATTGCTTCATTTTCAGTTTTCCCTTTCCCAAACAAACTCTCCCTTTAGATCATTATTACTTCTTTTCCAGCTTTTACTAGATTTTTGGAGCGGTTTGCATAACAATATTTAGGTATTTTTTTCNCCCCCCCCTTTTCTTAGTCCGGGCTCTGTTTAAAGTATAGGGTTTTTATTTCCTCAAAATTTTGAAAATGGCCAACACTTCAATTGGACTTGATAAGTGGAGGGATTATTTCAGAGGTGCAAATTCGGACATATTTAATATAATCGAGCATGCATAATGGTAGCTGCTTCAGTTAGCCCTTATGAATTCAATGTGAAAAGGGATCGAATAGCTGAGATGCTCTTCACTTGTAAAATGACCAAGTGTTTTGGCTGTGATCGAGTTGAGTTGACTGTGCCTAAAAGTGATTGTGCAGAAAAGAATATTGATGATGATGATGATGATAAGTGCAAAAGTGGTATTGTTGAGGTAGGAGGACGAAGTAAAGATACACAAGAGAGAAACTGAATAGGAGAAGAGATAGTAATGATGATGATGATCACGAAGAGATTGTGGAGAGGAATTTGAATAATCACCGTGTTAGAGATTCTAGCACTTTATTAGAAATATTGCATTTATTAGAAAAATTAAGGAAGCATTTATGTTTACTGTTCTTTTTCAATTTAGAAGTAAATATTTTTATTTGTATGATTCTTATGGCTTGAATCTAATTTATCTTTTATGCAAAGTGGATCCATGGAGGAATCCTGCAGTAGAGGAGCAAGTAATAATGAGAATTCACCGGATTGGCCAGAGGACTGTCCATGTAAGAAGGTTCATTGTCAAGGTGATTTTTATCTTCATACATAAGCTTTTCTCTTTCAAAAAACAAATTTTTTATGTTCAATAACTCCAGTCACCTCACGACCAACTGCTCAGGTCGGAGTTGATAGAATTATAAGTTTGGCTGGCCTTTGGCCTGGAGATTACGTTTATGGCTCCCCGCCATATGCTCCAACGTTTCGTCCAATGCGCCGACTAACGAGCACTGGCGAGCTGCTGAGGTTCGAGGTCAACAACATGCAGACGTGGATGAGCCTCCCGAACCAACAAGGACACATGCACCGACGGGTTTGGACGACTGCCCATCAATGGAGGACGTGTGTGACTGGCCGCTGAGGGGGAGGTGACGAGCAATGTGCTGGACCCAGAAAAAGGTGTGAAACTTTTCAGATCCACTGTTTGATTCTTCAAACCTATTTCGATTTTGTTTTGCGTGGCAAGCTTTTCTGTGATAGCATTATCAAACCTTTTTTATTCCAGTGTGATACTCGATGAAAGCAATTCAGTTGGAGTTCTTGGGAGGTCTGGTAGAGGCCTAACTGAACATATGAAAGTTTCGGTAAGTAATCCTTATCTGCGTACTATTTGTATATATTTGCCTTTCTTTAATACTTTTGTTTGTTGCAGATCGACAAGGTGGATATTGTTACTGCTTCATTGGGACATACAGTAGCCACTGAAGGAGGATTTTGCATTGGGAGTAATCGAGTGATCGATAACTGAGTATGCTTGATTCCATGAAATCTATTTGGAATGATATGAATGCAGATGATCCGACTTCAAAAATATCAAATCTATACCTCTTTGTTTCAAAGGGAGAAAGAGATATATTTATCTAATGCAAGAATTTGTGAGGTTAAATACTTGCATCCCAGTGAGTGTTTATGTACTCATTTTTCCCAATGAATAAAATCTCTTCTGTTCTTGTTTTGTTTATTATTTATTATGTGAATGTGTTCTGTTTCTTGTTTTTTGGTGTGTGCTCTGTAGATGAAAGGACAAAGCATGAGCCATAATTTGTGGATTTCGAATGAACGGTCGAGTTTATTTTACGAATGCAGCAATGCCAGCGATAAATTTATACGTGATCATTTTTTTTTTTTTCAATTTGACAAATCAATTTTCTGTTGGTTTTAATTGAATATGATGTCGGGTGCTTGTTGTGATATAGGTGTTCAATTGGTTTTTACAGTAAGAGCGATAAGAAGCGGAAGCACGCTCGTCCATCCAACTTTTCGGATGGTTCAGGCTTGAGTGCCACATTCAGTTGCTACGAATTTTTGAGCTTTGGCATCAAACTGGCTACAATGCAAACTGGTGGGAAAAACAATTGGCAGGTACCTTTTTTTTATTTTACTTTTTTTTCGCATTGCATACCTGTAATATAAGTCTTGAAGTTTGTGCGCTATGAAATATTAAACTCTTAATGAAAATGTTGTTAAAAGTTCCAGAGAGAACTTTCTTATAATAGGTAAGGGGATGATGGTTGTCAAAGATGTCAACAAACAATTATGCTAAATAATGTAGAAAATTACCAAAGGTCAGTGTTACGTGCACCATACATGATTGATATGCTTTTCTTGTCTCGGCACCTTAATACTAAAACTTGAAGATATTTTTGTTTTGTATTTTTGGACCGTGTATTAGTTTATTGATAAACATGTAGTAACTGATTGTAATATACTAACTGGTTTTTAGATTTGACATCATATTTAATTTCAGTTTTTTTCCCTTTGCATTCCATTGTTAATAGTATCCATAGACTGTTCAAAATTTGGATGCTCAAATGAATTATAGTTACTTTGATGTGAGTTTTGTTTAGGTTAGTTGCTTTAGTATGGAGATATTTTGTTGAGGTACTTTGGTTTTTTCTGTCTGGACAAATGTATCTCTTACAGAAGTTAACTGGACTTTGGAAGACCTTTTTTATCCTTGGTTAGTATTTATGTAGTTTATAAAAATTTATGAGGTTTTTGTTCTTGGGCGCAGGAGTCAGAAGGGATGAAATGAAGGGAACTGCCTCAAGCGCGTTAGGGTTCTCAAACAAGAGATAGTTGAGTGTGTAATTCTAACAATGTCAACTTCAAAGACATAATATATGTAAACAGCTACAACAACTATCCAAATATGAGCGGCAACAACTGTCACAAAAAGTGTGTAATAATGAAGTATTTATGGTCAAAGCTTTTTTTTGTTAACAAGCAGTGTACAAATTGACAACGGATTCGAATGCACATGACAAATTTTCAAAATATTTTTAGACTGAATTTGAGTCCGCCGTGCGTGCACGGCGTAAGACAACTAGTTATATATATATGAAGAAGTTATATACCTTTAAATGGCGACAAGTGGCAGCTTCTTGGCTTGACATTTGACATTTTTTGGGTCAATTACCTAAATGCCCTTTTCTCAACCAACACAATATCTTCACTTCACACTAATTGTGAAGGTCAATAAGGTAAATTGATGTCATTTGTTGTTTTGACTGTTTTGTCCTTGTGTATTAAGCTTTTTGAGGGTCGTATATGTAATTTTGCGTGGCTCTTATGTTTCTACAGTTGTGTTCGCGGGATTTGCTCCCCAAAATCTGGTGCGACGTGACAAAGACGGAGATCTGTTTTCTTTCAGAAATCTCGCACACGCAATCCCTCTCCAACACTAATCACACAACACTCTCGCATTTTCATCTTCCTCTTGCCACTGACACCATAATCACTCTCTCCACTCACTTTTCGAAAACCTAATCGCCCAAAAATTGAATCTTGCGGCGGTGGAAGCTGGAGGGTTGTCGAGAAATTTCGGGGTTATTATTGTGGATGGATGGACCGTCGACGACGCCGGGGCCGCTGGGGATGAATTTTCCGATTATGCACGACACCGACAGGTACGAGCTGTGGCCAGGTGCCATTTTTGCAACGAGAAGTGCGAACAAGAGGTGGGGGCCTTTCAAATGGGGAACCTTGGGCATTGGTTGCAGAACAGTATCATCGCTCTATCTTGCCTTCATGGTTGAACCCAGCTGAGCCCAGCCCGCAAAGCGTTTCACCTTTCTCGAAGGTTTGTTTGTTTCCTGGTGCTTTCAATACAAAAATGTTCTATTTGGCTAGAATTTGGGCTGTAAGTGAAAATTTAATGTTTTAAATGGACTGTTTTCACTTCAAGCTTTAGCTTTTTTACAGTTCTAGCTCAACATTAAACTTTTGATATCTTCTATTTTCGATAAATTAGCTCCAGTTAAATTTTTGTTTCCAATAAAATATTTCTGTTTAAACTTAAATACATATCTTTTGACCCGACGAGACATTGGCATTTGGCACAGGCATATCTAACACGAGCTGGCAGGTCTCGGTGATCAGACAACAGAATGTCCAGGGCAGCAAACGTATCTTGTGCGGCCGAGCTCGTGGTCTGATGGTCCTTGGGGTCTGTTTCTTGGAGAAGGCAGAGAAAGTCATGCTAGAGCTGCTGGCCGCCTGGGAAAAGGCCCTTGAGATGAAAGTCGACATAGTGTTTGGGGTGTTTTGCAAGGGAGTATCGTGTGTTTCATGATTCTTTTTACTTTGTGTTTGTAGAGTTTCGAAGTATCGATCACCATTTTTCGCCCTTTTTTCTTGCAGATGGTTTTCTTTGTGGCCTTTAAGCGTATAGCAGAAGCTGAATCAGAGGAATTGTACAAGAGGTTTAAGAGTTTTAAGAGTGAGTTTGTTAAATTGCTTAGGGTCACTTTCTCTGCCTATTTACCTACCTGGTACGAATTACTATCGAGGATTTAAGGTAAGGCAAAACGTTTCATATGATCAACTTATATATAGAGATGTACATTTGGGGATTCGTTCATTTAATTTATTTGTGAAAACTAGGTTTGTTATAAGATTGTTGTGTATTTATGCAACTAATGTATTTTGTATTCTTGAGTGTTTGTTATTAGATTGTATTTATGCAACGCAATGGACGCGAAAAGAGCATGAAACAATGCATAAATTATTGATCAAACAATCACGATATTGTACTCGGGTTGCGTAACTATATCCACAACTTTGATGATGGCTGTCAAGTATATGCATTATTATCAAGAAGCTCTGCAAGAACTAAGGGTTAAGATTAAGAAAAATACATTCTATTTTTTTCTTTTAAACTTTTTGTTTTTTTTTTTTTTCCTTTTTGAAATATTTCAAGAATTAAACATCTAATTTATGTTTTTCATCAGGACGAACATATTTCGATCCGGCAAGGGAAAAATTCAGAGCAGCCACTGGATTGGGACGATTACAAGTCGATGAGGTTTACGCGTGCTGTAAGCCGGTTGCCAATGCACATTTGATACATATTGATTTTTCTGAAAAATTACTATATAATATAATTTATATTTTAATTTATGTATTTGTTTTGCACAGGTTGTCTTTGAGACAATGAGGTTGGCCAATGTGGTCAATGTGGTACTGAGGATGACAACAAGAGAGATGAAATTGAATGGTACAAAAAAAATAAAAAAAATCATGCATTTAATTTTCAATAGTGTTTTGTGTAACAGGTTCTTTTTAACGCCAATTTTTGTGTTTAATTTTTCATTTTGTGACAAATTAAATTTTCAATGGTCTTTGTGTAAAAGGTCCATTTTAGTTAACCCCGTTAATTTTGGGTTTAATTTTCTATATTATATTATTTAAAATTTTCTTGAACCAGGATTTCTTGTTCCAAAAGGCTGGAGAACATATGTCTACACGAGAGAGGTCAATTATGACCCAATTCTCTATCAAGAGCCCCTTAAATTCAATCCCTGGAGATTGGCTGGTTAGTTAATTCAATACATATTTATTATCAAATCAAACAATTCAATTGGTTTTCAGTGTTAATTTGTAAATTTTGCAGGATAAGAACTTGGAATCACATAATTATTGCTTTCTGTTGGGAGGAGGAACTAGGCTTTGCCCTGGGAAAGAACTGCCGGGATCAATCAGCAGGCTAATGCAATCAGAGGTTGGTGGGAGTGAAGTAGGTTTCGCGAGCATACACCCAACTTGGAATTGTCACAATATCAGTTTTTCTTCACTATTTTGTAACTACATGCAGGTGATCAATTCTCACTTATTTATTTTTTAAACTTTTCAGTGATGATTCTCAATTTTTTTGGTCTACTGACTGAATAATGGTTCGGGATTCTATGTGTTATTCGATCCTAGCCAAGCCGAGCACTCCGTGTTCCAGTTCGTCCTCGCTTAATAAACTGCTATTAAACAAGCATAGGCTTGTTTATATATGATGTTATAAATTGATCCATGTTTTAAATGATGTTATAAATATTATATGTACTAAGTATATATGTATTTTTTTTTATCAGGAAAAACATGACGATTTTTGTCTATTATTTTGACAAGGAACCTAGATATCAGGAAATTATGTGTTTCATCTTTTCATTTAATATTCTAGGGGATAGGCTTGTCTGGGAACTTTTGCTTCTTAACTTTTAGTTTCCAGATGCTGAAAATTTTAGTTATATTTCAAATTTGACAGAGGTTTGGAAATCCTCAATTTGTCTTTCTGGCTAATATCGATGGTTTTTCAGCAGGGTGAAATGATGCGAATCTGCAAACACAAAGATCTCATTTGTATGGTGGATTGTTGGCTTCTACTGGGTGGTCTCAGGTGGCGAAGCTCTTTTAACAGATGCTCCGCGTTTGTATTGGTAAGTCTAAAGCCTCCCGGTTTAATGCTTCAGTTTGTACTGCTCTTCTTATTGTTAATACTGTAATCCAGTCCTATCTTATGTTACCTTGGATCTATGTTTATCGGAATGTATAGATTTGTTTTTACTTTGAATTTGAGAGTTATAGACATTTTTTTAAAGGGTGGCTTACTCTTTGCCAGGAAATATTTTTTCATTCTTGCTGCTATACAAGTATTTGAGGAAAGTTTATTGTTATGTATGTAATCTAATCTATGTTTATTATAGTATACAAAAATCCTGATCTATGTTGTAGAAACATGTTGGACATTTTGCGATGATTACCATGTAATGGTATCTGGTGAAACATATGTTTCTCATAGAATAAGTGTTATCTATGGCGGATGACGGAAAATACCGGCAGGCTGAAATCCCACCATAACAGTTGTCATTGCCGCCCGCCATGGCGGCGTATGGCTCTACCGTAACGCAACTCTTTACAAATTTTAATTGGCACTTAGATAGAAACCCGCCATGTCGGAAATTTAATAACACTGCATATATAGGGATTAAGAAGAAAAGTTTTCAACCAAGTCCATGTCAAACTAAGTTGCATGCATAACTAAAGCGTTAAAGGGTCATAAAATGAACAACAAGTCAGTCCTCTTCTGACAACCCCATTGATTTCATGGGAGATTCAAGTGAGGTGAATCCGGTCATGAGTAGCTTTCACGAAAACCTGTTTGCGTGCTCGGTCTTTTTATGTTCTTTGGCTGATTTTTAATAATTCATAAATACATATAAATTCAAGTGATCATTTCAAATGACAACAAATTTTAACTCGATAATAGACTTAATAGACTGAATTTGAGCCGGCTGTGCGTGCACAGCCGTAAGGTAACTAGTATACAAAATAAATAAATGTAAGAAATCCATTAGCATATGGTGTTAGAATCTATTCGCCAAAAATTTTGAAACATTTTTAACTCAATTATCAAATAAAAGAATTTCAAAAAATTAATGTAGATATGGTGTTAGTTAACACAATTATCAAATAAAAGAATATAAAAAAAATAATTATCAAATAAAACATTATTAACAAAATTATCAAATAAAAGAAACATTGTTAACTCGACATTAATGCTCCACAGTCAAATAAAAGAAAAAGAATACAAATTCAAATGAAGATTTTGGAGTGTGCAGAAATTTGCAATATATATATATTCACCAAACATTTGGATACATATCAATAGGGATGTGTGAAGAAAGTTATTAAATCCACGGTGAGGGAATATTACTATATCAAATATTTGTAAAACATAATTAGTCTACATCAATTTTATAATATTATTATTAAAACAAAGATTAGGAATATATAAATTATTTCAGCCATATGATCATGGTACCTAATTTCGGACAAATCACCCAAATTAGGCATCCAAATTTTTTAATATGGTGTTAGTATCCCGTTACAAATTCAATTGAAAAAGTTGGAGTGTGAAGAAATTTGTTACTATATATTTGCCAAACATTTGGAAACATTGTTAACACATCAATAAAAGAATATAAAAGAATTAATGTAGATATGTTGTTAGTTAACTCAATTATCAAATAAAAGAATATAATATATTAATTATCAAATAAAATATTGTTAAATCAATTATCAAATAAAAGAAACATTGTTAACTCGGCACTAGTTCACTGTCAAATAAAAGATCCATTATTAACTCAATTACTGAATTCAAGTGATGTTTAAAATAGAAAAATAAAATAAGGAAAGAAAGATTTGTGTGATATTTAAATTCAATACAAATTTGGTTGAGAGGCAATAATGTGTGGCAAAAAAGTTATTTGTGGCACTTTCCAAGCTAAATTTGTTTCCAAATTTTTTATCTGAACCTAAATACAAAGCATGACATTATGACATGTAGGATTCCAAAGCCTGTCATTTAGGCTCAACACATTTTGAATTAATAAATAGGGGGGATAATTACACCCGACCATCAAATGATAATTCAATTAATATCTACAATCATGAGATGAAAGTATAACAAATCATTTTTCGTAATTATAATGAATAATATTTTTAATTGTGTCAACAAATTACTACAAAATTAATATTATGATCTAATTGAAAATATATGTAATCAATCAATACTTTATTTAAGTTAATTTATAACTAATGAATATTAGTCATTGATTAAACAAAAAATAATAAACATTCATTTACAATATTTGCTAATATATAATAGTCAGTTATATGCAAAATATAAATGAAAATATTTTTCCGCCAAACCTATGTCAATTATAGGAATAATGATTTTTCCATTATATAAATATAAATGTTTTGTTTTTTTGTTGGTTTATCCAAGTGGCTACGATATATTCTTTTCGCTAAAAGTCATTCTCTTTGATGAGTGTGGCAATTTGTCGCTTCTGTAATTTAAGCGACTTCTGTGGGGTGGTGATTGTAAACATGATCAACAGGATTGTGATCAAATTAGTCAAGGGCGCGTAACACTTTTCGCAATTGTCATCAACCGAGCCTACTGAGGACTAGTTTTAGGTCATAATTTGACGTGTTGAGCAAAATTCAAATCCTATGACTAGAGCTGTCAAAACAACCCGAGGGCCGCTGACTCCGCCCAACAATAGGGGCGGGTTGGGTCTGTATTTTCTACACCAAGTAGCAGGCCTAAACGGGCCAGCCCCCGCGTACCGCAGGTTGAGGCATGGCAGGGAGGGCCGGTCCACCTATTTAAAAAAATATAAATGTGTATTATCTTATTAGATAGTCTATAATAAATATGACTAATATATGTAATATATTAAATACAGAAAGGGAAAAGCACACTACTCTGCCTCTTCACCTCTCTCGCACACGTCACAGCCTCCCTCTTCATCTCCTCGCCTCTGCCCCAGACACCCAAATCCGACCTCTGCCCCGCCTTCGCCCCATACAACCAAATCCGACCTCCGCCTTCACCTCAGATAATCAAATCCGGCCTCTGCCTCTGCCTCAGACCACATAATCCGACTCTGCTCCGCCTGCGACAACTGATTCAACCTTCGCCTCCGCCTGCGACCACCGATTTCAGCCATTGCCTCCGCCTGCGACCATCGAATCCGGCCTCTGCTCCACTTGCGACCACCGAATCTAGCCCCCGCCTCCCTTTTAAAGCATGTTTTGTTTTGTTGTTTATAAGTTTCCATTACAATTACATCAAGTTACAGCAATTTAAAAAA